AAATGTTCTAAAAGTCAGTGTGTCGATCAGTTTACTTGATTTATTTTGTTTGTTTATTTACAAGTTTATTTAATATTTTTATGACAAAGCATCTCCAAATACATTGTTAGAGTTTTTAAAAATAAACTGAAGAAAAAATGATCACATTTGACTCCAGAACTCTTTGGTCTACAGAATTCATGGTCTATTTAGTGACTGACAGGAGCCCAAACTATCAGCCCTCCACCACCGTGCTGACAGCTGGGAGGAGCAGTTTGCTGCAGTGCATTCTGGGTAAACGTCTTCAGTCTGATTTTGTCACAGTCTTGTGATTCTTGTAGATGAAACTTTCCAAACCTGTCAGGCTGTCGTGTTGGTTAGAAGAGGCTTTCTCCTGTCAAGTCATGACCATTGACCTTTGACCTTCAGTCCATTTTCTTTTCATGGAAGTTTGGAGCATCAAGAAGTCGCTCAAGTTCTGCTGGTGTAACAAACCTTCTTTGGATGAAGATACTTCAGTTCTTTGAATTTTAGGAACAACGTTTTAGACATATATCTGTTTTTGACAGACAAAAATTCTTCCAGCTTGTGTTTGTTTGTTTGTTTGTTTGTTTGTTTGTTTGTTTGTTTGTTTGTTTGTTTGTTTTGGTTGGCTGTTTGAGGGAATCTTCTGTCTGAATGTTTGGAGGCTTCAGGAGGATGAGCAGAGAGGAATCATCTTTAACGACAGAGAGAGAAAAGGAAAGAAGAGACGGACTGAGGCTTTTGGCTGCAGGAGTCCTTCCTCCTGTTTCTGACAGCAGAGAGGAGGAGGAGGAGGAGGAGGAGGAGGAGGAGGAGGAGGAGGAAGGCACTGCCGAGAGCTTCAGTTCTTTCAAACAAAGAGCCTGAAGTGGGCCAACAAATTGGGAACAATGTGGAGGAATTTCCTCTGAGCTGAACGAGAGCTGATGATGCAGCCTGATGTTTTAATCTGAACAGAAAACAAATTAAAAGTACTCAGAGTAAAAGTACTCAAACAGAGTAAATATACTAAAATATATACGACTGGAGTATTAGAACAAACTGCTGCAAAACAGGTTCTGCAGTACCACGAGACACTGTTTAATCTTCTAAGCCAGGGGTCTGCAACTTTTACAATCAAAGCACCATTTTATGTCTTCGTTCACTAAATTAAAAGTGCTTGGAGCTGCAACAACATGCTACAACTGTGGTTATCAACTGGTGGCCCATGGGCCACTTTAGGTTTGCTGGAGGGGGCTTTTGTGGCCACTAGGAGTGACATTATAAAGATAAAATAACAAATAATTTATATTTTTACAATTTAAGACATGAAAGCACTAGATTATTTTAAAGAGAATGGCTTTTAATTAATCAAAACTATGAACTATACTAACCTAGGTAATGTTTTTGTGGAAAAATTAATTAACTATAGAAATAAAGCATAAAGTTAAAATATGTTTTACTCGTACTTGTTCCAGTATTCACATATTTACAAAAGAAATGACAGGAAAACTACTCAAACTACCAGTAGTCCTTTTTTGTTATTTATAAAACATCCTATAAAATTCAGTTTTATGTTAGATTTGGTCAAAGCTTGAAAGAGCCGCTGCGGAGGAACCAAAGAGCCACATGTGGCTCCAGAGCCGCAGGTTGCAGACCCCTGTTCTAAGCTGTCTCATTGCTGGTCAATCCCTGAAAATAAAAGAAATAAAAAAACTCACCTACCTGCCCACCCTCCACCCCAAACCTTCTCATCTCCTCTTCAGACTCCTCATTGATCCTCATTCCTATAAGAAATAAAACTCCCAGAAACGACTTCATCGTATCACTGGAAACTGCTGCTTTTCTGTTCGAGCCGTTAGCAAAATGCAGATAAAGAGAACAAGTTTGATTTCTGGAAGCGGCGGTCACCTGATGTCTCATTTGTGCACATCACTGAACCATCACAGTCGGAGCACATCTACTGTTACACATCAGACAAGAGAAAATCTTCATCCCTCTCCTGTAAATAAACATCTTAAACACTTAGTTTGGCTCGTTTCCTGTCAGAACATTGGGTCTTTGCTGCCAAAAGGACCAAATGATAGATGTGAAAATTATAAAGCAGAGTTCAGAGCTCCTCAGCCTCCGGTCTATTCAGGGATGCGAAAGAAGAGAGTCTTGTTGATGGAGAGAGGAGCAGGTTGTTGTTGGGATGGTTGAAGGGACAAGATTATGTCAGGGCAAAGTCACAACGAGAAGGTCTTGGAAGGACTTGGAAGGACTTGGAAGTCACTGAAGAAGAATAGCAAAGGTTAGTAAAACTTGTTGAGGAACTAGCTCTGTCCATTATTTTACCATTAGATGTCATAATGTCCCAGCGTCAGAAGAACATCTGCAGGAGCTTTCAAACTCAGCAGAGCAGACATTCAAATCAGGTGCAGGTGACTGGCTGGGATGAGCAGCAGCTGTGGAGGGAATGAGTGTGGCTGGAAACTAGGAATCCCACATTAAGAGCAGAACTCGGGTTTGGATTCAGAGTTTAGACCCAGGCTGAGTTCAGATCTGTGACTCCGCTGACCTCTGACCTGTCGGATCAGCTGGAGGAGCGCCGCCGGCGTCCTCCTGCAGGATAATGACTTGTTGATAAAACAGAAGCTTAGGTTGAGCCTGATTGGACCTCTAGTGTCAGACTGTTTGACAGACAGAGAGGGGGCGGGGCCAGGCCAACATGTAAACAACAGGTAAACAATAACAGCTGACTCTTTGTCTCATTTTGTCAGAAAAGTTTTTTTTTTTTTTTTTTTTTTTTTTTTAGATTTTAGGTGAAACTGATACCAGTTTAGTCTTAATAAGGTCCAATAAAAGTGAGAGGAAAAATCCTGGACTGGTTCTGATCCAGTTCTGAACAAAACTCCAATTTCACTGCAGAATCTTCCTGCAGTTTTCACATAATTAACCTTGTTAAACAACAATTATTAGGTATTGATCAGGAGGAGAAAATGGGCCTTACAAGGTATACCAAGACACACACACACACACACACACACACACACACACACACACACACACACACACACACACACACACACACACACACACACACACACACACACACAGGAAGTCCTGCTGAGCATTAGATTGATTGATGGATTGATCTGATCATTCTGATGAGTAAAGTGACTTATTCAGAGCTGGGACACACACGCAAACACACACACATGCACTTTCCATCTTGGTCACTTCTTCCTTTAGCTTTAACCCCCACAGGTTGTCACGGCAACAGCATCATTTGAGTCGGACAATGGAGCATGATGCTGCAAAGAAACCATTTAATTTGTTTTTATAATTCATTCATCTGAGCCTCATCATGTTAATATGGTCTGGTTCTGATCCAGACCAGTTCTGACCCTGAGGAGGATCCTCTGAGCTTCAGAGGATCCTCCTCTTCCTGCAACAGGCACTCTTCCCATCAACACTGATCCTGAGTCAGCCTTTAAACAATGACCTCCTCCGGTTCTTTTCAGGATGATCTGCTGATGAACAGAACCAGAGGAGAACCAGAGAAACGTGGTTTAACAAAAATGTTGATGTTAGGAAACAAACAAAAAAGGTTCTGACCCAAAAGATTGATGTGAAAGTTAAAATAAAAATCATTAAATTTAAGAATGAATGTAAAATCTGAGTTGTGATTATACACAAGATAAATTCTGATTTTGGTTCTGGTTCGGTCTCTCCCTCTTCTGTTCAGATTCTGGATCAGCCTCCCACAAACTCGGGCCGGTGTGCGCGTGACGTGCGCGCGACGTGCGCGTGTCGTGCAGCCAATCAGCGCGCAGCTCGCGACGGTTTGGCTTCTCCTCTGAGTCACAATAAAAACTCATTAAACTTCCTGCAGCTCATTATGAGGCTGCAGGTGCACGCGGCCCGATAATCCCGCTCAATTAGTGCACGCTCCCGCGCACAACAACAATGGCGCGTGCGTCCTCCGCGTCCCCGCACAGTGATGAGAAGACTCAGAAATTTATTTAACGAAGGAGACAGAAATATATTTCCATAATTTTAATTTTCTCACATTAAATTAAAATTTTTATTACGTCATTTTGAGTAAAAACTAAAAGTTATGTGTTTTGAGTTTAGAGCTGCACGATTATCTTCCTCTCTGCCCCTCTTCCTCCGGGTTTTCTGTCTCCGCACGTGCGGAGACAAGGCGGCTGCTGCGGGGCGTGTGCGGGGATTAAACTCCCCACGGGGGTTGGGGCCTATTTATTTGTCAAACAGCTGATAAACTTTTTTTTTCGTTAAAATTATTTAATTTTTTGTTGCTTTTGGAAGAAGCTAAATAAAAAGAATGAAAAATTTAAATATCCAAGAGTTTGAAGACAACTAAACAGTTAATTTTGTTAGAAACAAATTAATTGAGCTGAAAAAAAAAAACTTTATGAATTGAAACCTTTAAATAACATTTGTTTATATCATTTTAATTGTTTAAATAAAATTCCATAAACTTTTTTTTTGGTTTATTTTAGTCAAGAGAAACAAAAATAAAAAGACTGAAACAAAATGTTTACTGACAGATAAAGTTTGACTTTGAAGATATTTTATTCACATTTGGTTTGTTTGGGAATTTTAAGGAACTTTTCAATTATTTGACTTAAAATATAAAATATTTTTGGATGAGAAAAAACCTTTTGGAAAACAAATATCACTTCAATTATATACATTATTAATTTTAGAACAAGTTGGACTTTAACTTTTATTTTAGTCCTTTTTCTGACTCAGTTATTCTCGTTAAATATTCAGAGTTTTAATCATTAACTCCATTTTCCTTCTTGTTTTGTTGCCCGATTATAAAAACTCCGCATGTGTTTCCAGGACCGTTAATGATCGGAACGGGCTCGTGCACGCGCGTGCATGCCCAGATAGTGATTTGATGCAGAAAAAAAAAAAACTCAAATCAGGATGCTTTTTATTATATATTTTTTTAAAAACGTAAACTTTATTTCATTTGTAGAAAAAACAGGAAAAGTTTCAGTAAATAGAATAAAAATCTCTTTATGTACAAATTTCATGAGACAAACAAATAAATAACAATCTAACAAACATGAAGGGGGTGTGCAGGCTCCTGGATTTTCACGCCTATTTTTTAATTTTAATTTTTTTTTTTTTTACAAATTATTTAACTTTTCACCTCCAGACTGTAACCTGCGGGGTCAGGGGTCAATGGTCAAAGGGTTCTGAAGGGAAAAACACAAACTATAAATCTGAAAAAAATAAAACTCTTGTAAAATCCGTTCTGAGCTCAGACTGGAGTTCTGCAGCAAGTTCTGATGGTTCCGACACCAGTTGAGCGCGCGCGCCGCGCATGAGTCTGAACAGGTCTCTCTGGTTCGGGTCTCCTCAGTAGATGCGCGGCACGAAGCTGCGGAACCCGAACAGCGAGTCCGGGCGCAGGAAGTCCTCCGGTCCCCCGGGACTGCCCGGGGAGGAGGCGCAGTGATCAGAGGAGGAGGAGGACGGGGAGCCGCTGGAGCTCCAGGAGCACGAGTCCGGGCTGCGGGACGGACTGAGCAGAACCGGAGCCTGCAGGTCCGAGATCCGGATGGTCTCGGACAGGGCCAGCGGAGCCTGCAGGTCCGCGATCCTGATGGTCTCGGACAGGGCCCAGATGTAGTTGTGCGCGAACCGCAGAGTCTCGATCTTGGTGAGTTTGGTCTCGTCCGGGAAGGCGGGCAGAACCCCCCGCAGCTCGTCCAGCGCATCGTTCAGGTTGTGCATCCGGTTCCGTTCACGGTCGTTGGCCTTCAGCCGCCGGTTCTTCTTAACCACATGCGTGGTTGGGTCGCCGCGCGCGCGCCCGCGGCGCCGCTTCTTCTGCAGCTCGGGCTGTCGGGCCGCGCGCCTCGGGGACGAGCCGCGGCTGTCCTCGTCGTCGGTGTTTGGGAACAGGTCGCAGCTGCTGTCGGAGTAGACAGGGTCCATGTCGTAGCGCGGGTGGTTCGGTTCTGTGGGGGAAGGAAAAGAAGAAACGGTGAGCGGAGCGCGTGCCAGTTGAAGGCGCAGGGGAGCGGAGAGGAGCGCGTGAGCTCACCTGAAGTTCTGGGAGCTCGGACCCAATTGGATCTCAGTTCTCTTGTCGCTCCAGATCAGCTCGTGCGAGCCGGTGAGCCTGGCACACGACCGGCCTCAACCCGCTTATATATGTGGACAACCACGACCCCCCCGGACCCCCCGCAGCAGGTCTGCCCCGTGCCGCCGGACGGCCTCATTAACATAATGACGCCGCGCGACGAGAAGCGTGCCGGTAATCACGGCCAGCCAATCAGAGGAGGCGGAGAGCCACGCGAGCGACACGCACGAACCACCACCCCCCCCACACCCCCCCCCCCCCCACCCCCGTGAGACAAAAAAAACCCAAAACCCCCTTTCAGAGAGTTTCACAAAAAAAAAAAAAAAAAAAAAACTGGCAGAAGAACCCCCCACGGTGAGGATCCATCAGTCTTCTCCAGGGACACAAGCTTGTCTTCATGACGGGAAGTGACGTCACTCGCGACCAGGCGCAGAAAGCTGGTGCTTCATCCCTGAGTTCAAATAATTTCATGTTGAGTTATAAACTTTTGACAGAAACGTCGGGCTCAGTCTCGCGTGATACCGCGTGCGACCCTTTAGCGCTCAGATTATCTGTTGGAGATGAGTCTCATCCACCACCAAATCTGAGGCTCGTGTGTGGTGGCCACCTTGAATCAGACCGACTCCTGAAGTTAAGGAGTTGTGAGAACAGAAAGATTTGTTTTAAATAGGTTCAAGTGATATTTTGCTAACAGACACTCAGACGGGTAATTACATGATCTCCCTCTTTCCGTGGGGATAAAAACGGTGTCTGAGATGTGACTTTGTGTCTTTTAGTTTAGTTTGGAAATTTTTTTCTAATTGTAGATTTGGACATTTTAGAAAATTTTATCCAAAAATATAAAGCTTGTTTTTATTATTATTATTATTTATCCGTTAAAGAATGCAGCAAAGATTCTCCTGGACCCAAACGTCCAGAGAAGAAAAGTTGTGGTCTGAAGTTCATCAGAACTTTCTGTCTTTAATCTGAGCCCAGATTTTAATCCAGCTCCAGTTTTTTCCTCTTTAAATTAAAGAAAAAACAGTTATTATTATTATTGTGTGTGTAAGCTTCGTCCCTCTTTGAGCGGGTCAGAACCAGAACCAGCAGAACTGCGAGGAGCTCAGCCCTGCTCTTTGTTTGTCTCTGAACCGCTCCAACACAAACAGTTTCCTTTAAGTGGTTTTTAAAGACATCTTTATGAGACAAGCATACAATTTTCCATTAATTATTCTGTTCCTTCAGCCGAGGAGAAGCAGAGACCTGCAGAGCTTTTCTCCTGCAGGGAGGGGGGCAGTCATTTATAAATAATTACACAATGTTTAGAGTCTTCAGGCATGTATAATATATCAAAGCGATTATAAGGTGAATTGTCCCATTGTGTCCGTCCACCCTGCGCTTCTTTTCACTCCTCTCCTGGTTTGTCCTTCGTCCAAATTCAGCTCCTCGGGCCTTTTGTGCCGCTTTCTTTCTGCCTCAGCCACTCTATTGGCAGCTTTCTTATTCAAATGGAGCTCAGTGGGAACAAAACCCGAGCCAGGCTGCACACAAATCATCTCCGCTCCGGCTGCAGGGCCGGCACAAGCCCGAGTGGGGCCCCGGCGACCCGGCCCCAAATCCCCCGGTTCTGCCTCACCCCGAGAAGATCAGCTGCATGTTGGAGGCGGAAAAAAAGCTCCCGGTTTCTGCTTTTTAATCAGATCCCTGGATCAGTTTTGGTTTCAGACAAAAAGTTCTGAAGAACTCTGGAGGTCAGTTGGACTGAAGCAAACGGAGCCTGAGCGCGGAACGACGGCTGAAGTGTGCTGAATTAGCTGAAGCCAAGTTAAAGAAACAATAAAAACAACTGAAAGCAGCAAAAGTGCAGCTGAAAGCTAAATCAAACGATAAAAACAGAGCCAGGAGCTGAAGCAGATTTAAAAGAGAATAATTTTATGAAGAGATGTTTTTAAATCTTTCTTTCGGCTGCTCTCTTCTTCCGTCACAGGAAGACTTTGTAATTGTTTTTACTCCAGATGCTCTTCAGTCCGGGGAGTTGAGCCGGCGACATTCCGATCACAGGCCCACCTTCTCTAACCTCTGCGCCACCACTCCCCCGGGAATATATTTGGAAATAAAGCTAAATGTTTAGAAAAGTTACAAAAAGCTGAGCTGAATGTTTTTGTCGTACGAGCGGCTAAAATCCTAAATCGTGTATAACGTGAACTAATTTCAGTTACGAGCGCTCACATCTGGAAGTGTTCTGGTTCTGATCCACGTCTTCAAGTGACGCATTAAAATGAAATATAAAATAAAAAACACCTTTTCTGATCTCCTCATAGAACGGCTGCCTCTCAACAGGTTGCTGGTTTCTGGCCCTGGCCTTTAAGTGGAGTTTCCTCCAAGTATTCCAGTTTCTTCCCAGACCACAAACATGAATGTTTGTCTCGTTTATGGACTTGCAACTGGTCCAGGGTGTCCCCAGCCACCTCTTGCACATTGATGCTGGTGACCAGTGACCCTCAACTCAGAAAGGAAGAAGCTGGTAAAGATGGATGATCTCCTCCGTGTTTCTTTTTAATGATGAGGTCGATGGACATGGCCGCCTTTGTGGTGTAACGGATCACGTGTTGGACTTCTGACAAGGTTCATTAGAACAGATTCAAAGTTTGTGGGTTTGAGTCCCAGCATGCAGAACGTTTCAATGGGATATTCTCTCTTTGCACATCTGGAGGTTCTCCAGGTTCCCCCACAGGCAAACACCATGCATGTTAGTTGATCATAGAGGCCTGTTTCCATTAACTCGACTCCAGTAGACTCAGCAGGACTTCAGAGTCTTTTCACTTGGTGATATATAAACTACTGTATATAGTATACAGATATAGTATACAGTACATATATATAGTATACAGTATATGTACTGTACTGTATGGCAACTCGTTAACCAACACCATGGTTCTGAGGAGGTGCAGATGTTCCATGCTTGTTGGCTGACGACAGAATTCAGACGGAGCTCAATGGACTCGATTAACGGGCTCTGACTGGTGGAGTGGAGGTGGTGGCCTTGACTCGGCCACAGCATTTTCAGGAACCTGTGGTGAGGATGGTGAGCGGTTGGTGACTTTATCCCACCTATTCACCAGTTGCTGTGTTGTGTTTGCCTCGGGTAGAAAACATGGCCGTGGATGTTTTCAGTTGCCGTGCTGTGAGGATCTGTGAGGTCCCTTTGAGGCGACACACAAGTTTTATCAAAAACCACGCTGAGACTGCGACATGGGAAGAGTCGGAGGGAGTCGTGTTGATGTTGGACATTGGAATTACATCACGGTGTGTGAGAACCTGAGTGGTTGTCTGTCTCGTTTCATTGCCTTTAAAAAAAGAAACTGTCTGGATGACGTCTTCTGTCTTTTCTTGACCCTCCGTGCTCTGAGGCTGACATCTTGACTGCAGAGGTAACTTCTGATAGACATCCTGTCAGAAATGACCAGACTATCCCTTTATTGAGCTCTGAAGACCCCCCTCCTGCTTCCATAAAATAAAACAGACCCTGCTGTTTGTTTGGTGTCTTGATGAGTCTACGGAAGCTGAGAAAGGACAAGTCTAAATCTCTTTTTATGGCATTTTCTGGGGATTTCAGAGCTGATGAAGAGTAAGATGGAAATCCATCAAATCTTTATTCCTGTCAAAGTTTTACAGTTTGTTTGAATCAGGGATGATGAGGAGGATGGTGATGATGATGATGAAGCACACAGACCCCTGCAGCTGTGGGAGGAGCAGGTCCGGCAGCAGAAACACACGAAGAAGAAACAGAAGGTGGAGGCAGGTCCTGCTTTTACAGCCTGAACACTTCAAAGTGTTCAAACAGCTGCTGCACGTGCACGTGGAGCGGAGATGTGCACGTTGGATGATGGTCCGTCTGTCTGTTAGTGATGCTGCCATTTCTTCACGTTTTAGCTCCTATTAATTATATCAATAACGAGCAAACGTCATTTGCACTGTTATGAAAAATTATCCAGTTTGTTTATTATACATTTATCATCATTTATTATAAATTTATTATTGGTTATATACATTTATTATCTTTTATTATACCAAATTTATTATACATTTATAATATTCTATTATACATTTATAATCAGGTATTGCACATTTATTATAATTTATTTTACATGTATAATAATTATATTTGACATTTATAATCAGGTGCGCATTTACTGTACATTTACTATCATTTATCATGCATTTGTTTTACATTTACTATCATTATACATTTATAATCATTTAATATAAATTATCTGTTATTATACATTTGTTATAATTAACTATAAATGTATATATCTTTTATAAATGTATCTGTTATATACATTTAAAATCATTTATTACATTTATTTAACATTTATAATAAGTTATTTTATACGTTTTATAATTTATTATGCATTTTTTAATCATTCGTTACACATTTATTTAATATTATAATCAGTTATCATACATTTATTATAATTTATTAATATTTATTATATATTTATTATATTTATTAAATTTATATTCAGTTATTTTACATTTATTATCATTTATTATACATTTATCATTATCTATTTTAAATTATAACCATTTAATATACATTTATTATATATTTATTATAATTTATTTTACATTTCACATTGGTTTATTATACTTTAATGTCCTCATTTTTTATAATCAAGAACGAACAAAACACATTTTTGAGGCAACAGTTTGACTGGGTTAAAGTTTAAAGATTTTTGTCCGTCTGTTAGTAAAATATCTCATGAACCGGTGGATGGATATGTATGAAACTGTCAGAAAGTATCCAATAATTGAACATCCTGATTAACTTTTAACCTGATTTTAATTCAACACATTTATGAAACAAACTTTGTTGACCAAAGTGCTGCACAACGAGTAAAATAAAGCGGCATTTAATGAAACAAAAAGTCACAAAAAAAAAAAAAAGATTTAAAAATACCATACACCAAATGGAGTTCAGTGGAACAACATGGTTTTGAGAAGAGTTTCGCAGGTGGACCAGTCCACAGACCAATGAGGTTCTGATCCTTCTAGTTCT